CGGTCCGGGAAGATCCCACATGCCGTGGAGCGGCTGGGCCCGTGAGCCATGGCCGCTGAGCCTGCGCATCCGGAGCCTGTGCCCCGCAACGGGAGAGGCCACAACAGTGAGAGGGGCATATACCGGTTGAAAAAAAAAAAGAGAGAGAGAGAAGTACATTATTACAAATATGTCTATAAACAAACAAGCCAACCTGTTTGGAGAAAATAAGAGGAAGAATACTGTCAAATATGGACAGTGGCTGCAGTCCGGCCCTGTGCTTTGCAGACCCTTCAGTTGGGCCAGGTGGATTCCTTTATCCTCACCTTGAGAGGAAACCGAGACTTCAGGGAAGCAGGTGCCATGGCTGCCCTCCAATGCCAGCCCCACCACTTGCTACAGTCAGTCCTTCAAGCTCTCAAAGCTCATCTCACGGGTCCGTTATTTAGGGGGAACACCTGAGGGCTAGGTCCATGTCAGGGTCATCCTTGTACCCCAGAACAAGAGCCTAGCAAACTCTTACCCACAGGCATTTAAGTACTGAATAAATGAAGACCACATGGAACCCATTTCCGTCGTCAATGAGGGTAAATGCTGACTGGGGGCAGCGGTGGTGCTTTCTCCACTTGGCGCCGCCTCATGTTGTGTTGCACTGCCGGGCTGGGGCGTTTGTCTCACACAATTCGAAGCCATTAACTTTCCCTGCTCTTGCATCTCAGGCAAGCCGTGCCCTCTGACCCCAAAGGAGGTCCGATGCTCCCAGTGAAGGGACTTCCCACTGGGCACACCCAATACAGCAGTAATGGACACATGTGAAGCACCAGGGCAGTGCAGAGCGAGGCTCTCCCCAGAACAGTTTTGGGGGTGGTGCGGCTAGCACTCCAGGGCACAGCGTTAAGAAGGAAAAGCAGAGTGCAGGAAGCTGTAAGCCATCTTTTGAGTAAGAACGGGAAGGGAATGAGAATACACATTCGTAGTTGCTCGGTTTTGCATGAAGAAAGCACTGGGAGGGTGAAGAGTCATCGTACAGGGCAGGTGGGGGGTGTACAGGGAACAGGCGCATTTGAGCGGGCCTCACACCCAGTATTGACTTTTGAATCCTGTACACAGAGGACCTTAAGACACTTAGCAGAGAAGTCCTCCCCACAGCACCCCTGCACTCCACCCCCAGGTCCCTGCTCCCCGCTCCGCACCACCTGAGCTCACCCACCCCTGCCTCATTCCTCCAGGACTTGTCTACCCGTGGTCGGCACCTTCACGTGGTGCCCCAGCAGAGCAGGGCCACGAGGACGGGAAGATGGCCGCACACTGTTGGCCCAAGGAACAGGACCCTCTTCTTCCCAAGGTCCACCCCCCTCTCAGCGAGCCCCTCCACCCACCCACCCAGCCGAAGACACGGGTGCCGTTCCTGCACCACAGCTGTTACAGCTGCAGCCGGACGACCTCAGGAGTTCAAGCAGCTCTCACGCCAGGCCCGAGCGCTTCAGTGGGGTGGATCCTGGCCGGCCGGACACCCTCTTGCTGCAGTGCCCGCCTGCATGGCTCTGGCAGCTCAGCCCAGACTCGACTGTAACCTGGCCGGCTCCTCCCCACGGTCCATACCCCTTCCCCAGAGACCCCACAGCTTTGTCACTAACACACCCTCTCATGGCACTGAAGATCTAGAATTTGTATTTGGGACCATCTATTTCCTGCCTGCCTCTCCCTAGGGTGCAGGGATCCTGCCTGTCGGTTACTTTGCCACTCTTCCACCACCTTCCTGAATGAAGTAAGATACACCACACAAGCTTAAGTGGGTTTTCCCCCAAAGGAAGGCTTTATTGACAAATCACCCGTTATCTACTTTAAGGAAAAGATAAATCAGTTATTACACCTGCATCCTGCCTTCCCATCACACCCCATCTGAGAGACTCCAACCCTGGGGAAAAAGCACAGAGCAGCGTTCCTCCCAAGGCACGAGTGTGGACTGCAGCCACCCCCCACCCCCCAGTGTGTCTGAAGTGACCAGCAGACACTCAGGTACCAGACAGCACATCACAGTCGACCAGAGAAGACACTGAGCTGACAGCTCCTTCCCTTCAAGAGTGCACAGATGCCGGCGAGGTCTCTGCCCGCTAAGAGCCTGTAAGGCACAGAGCGCCCCTCCAGGTGCGCCAGACGTGGAGCCCTGGGTGAGAGGCTGCTGGGCTGTGGCGGCATCGGAGCAGAAAGAGATCTTTGTAGCTCCTGAGAAAAGGCAACAGCAGAGTCCCAGCTGACCCGACGCCCTGGCCCTGACCTACCTGCAGGGTCTGCCTGTTGCTCGCTGGCCCTGGCGTGTGCCACACACCCAGGTTGGAGCCGCTGATCGGTGATGTGCCAGCCAGGCCCAGCCTGTACAGGGGCAGCGCCAGCCCTCTGTGAAGGTGCTGGTCTTTCTTTCTCCCACCCCCACCAGCCAGTGGGAGCTGCCCCGGTCACTGAGAGGAGCGAGAAGCCAGTTTTCTATACGGGGATGGAATGCACTCGTGAAATAAAACACACCACTGGCACAGAGGTGCTGCCCCTCGGCTGGATGCAGGATTTTACATAGCGCTCAAAATCCACTAAGGAACCCTCATTTATATATATAAAAACATTATAAACAAATAAAACATAAGGCAATATAAGGCGTGCACTTCAGCTTGAGTCCAAAGGAATAATATTTTCTAACTGTGAGGCTAAAGCTGCTTTGCTTAGTTTTACTTTTTGAAAAACCCACTGCTTCTAAAAAATAAAGAATTTGCTTTTCTTAAAGCTGGGTCATTAGCGTAATGATCAGGCGTCTGCTGATCATCAGCTTTCTGGAAGCTCTCAGGAAATGGGTAGTTTTCCTGTTTGGCATTTTGAAATAAAACTGCAGATCAGGCAGGGCTTTCTGGATGACTCTTCCTTCTGCGACTTAGGGAAGGAGTTTAGAAAACACCACGCATTTTATACTTATCGCTCTTCCCCCCCCCCACCCCGCTTTCAACATGCTGATCCACTAACAAGACTCCCAACAGGAGCTTGGCTTTGGCTCCCACCCTGGGACCCGCCACCCTGCCCGCTTCCTGCTCCAAGGCAGGACGGCGCAGTGATTTGCTGATCTGCCGACAGAAGGGGAGGCATCCGTGTACAAGACATGTTCTCTGACCCATGCGAGCGCGGCAGCCACGTCTCCACGGGGATGGCCCGATTGTTCTCAACACCCGCCGCTCGAAGTTGCCGTTGTGGCGATGACGGTGTGCTTGTTCCGTGGCCGGGCAAAGCCGCTACGGGCTTAGAAGGGCGTGTGATCGGGCCGGGGTCTGTCTCCACTCCCGGTCGGGGAGGGAAGGTTGTCACTGCCATTCTCTCCGCCACTGACAACCTTAGACTACAGATGGGAAAAGACCAAGAAAGAAGAACATGAGACAGAGCACGCACGCCTAGCAGATCCTAGGCCCGTGCTGGGAATTCAAGGTGTCCGATCCCTACGTGAGTTTATGTCACATGGACGCCGCTCAGCAATACAAGAAACAAATCACCAACACGGGAAACAGGCTGGATATCTCTCTAGGAAATTACACAGTGAAAAGAGCCAATCCCCAAGAGACTACACGCTGCGTGGCTGCATTTACATGACGTTCCTGACACAACAGAAACGGAGACCAGGTTAGGGGTTGCCAGGGGTGTAGAGCAGGGGGTAGGCAGGCCGCAGTCTTTGTGGGGATGGTGGAACTGTGCTCTGTTGTGACTGTAACAGCCAGGCGTCCTGGTTGTGACACTGCAGGATGTTACCACCGGCGGAAACCGCACAAGGTACAAGAGCTCTCCGTATCATTTCCCATAACTTGCACGTGAACCTACAATGACTAGTGACGTGTCCCACCCCGGCAGAACTGGGCGGTCCAGATCCAGTTACCTTTATGGTCCCAACTCGGTCCTCAAATGACTTGAAGGTGGCAGAATTCCTTTAAAGAGAGAGAAAGATGTCAGTATAAGGAGCACATTGCTTTGTCACCCTCCTAAACCTGAAGGAACTCGGGGTTAGGGTCATCCTCTGGAGAGATCCCTGAGAGATCCCGAGGTCTCACTGCAAAAACATGACGAGCCAAAAAAAGGGGAGGGGGCACACATGTTCAGAGCCTTCCCCAGGACAGAACCGAGGTCAGCCACACCCCCCAACTGCAGGACAGAAGATCTGCATGCCACCAGCTGGTGAGCCCCAGACTTCATCTGGGCAAACTGCGGACCCCTTGACTGGGAAGCCAGGGGATGCCGGGCACGTTTTCTGCTGCGCCCTAAATGCACATCTTGGGGTTACGGAAAGTCCCACGTGTTCTTCACACAGATCTCTCACAGAAATCGAGCAAGAGGAAAACCAGGAGCATTCGGAGAGCAGAGAGTGACGAGGAGGCAGAGGACAAAGCAGGCCAGGCCTGGTCCCACCCAGCCCCCGTCCCCCTCCCTGGCTCCGCAGCTCCCTGAGCCCAGGCCTCTGGAGGCAGCCTGTCAGTGACCCCTGGCACGCTCGGGGGACAGCAGCTGCAGCAGCTTCTCCTGGACGGGGACACGAGCTCTGCGGGGACCCAGGCTGCACCACAGAGCAGGAGCGAGCACAGGTGGGGACTTCGAGGAGGAACAGGTCCTGGCTCTGGCTGTTCTCAGGACATAAAGAGCCACCATAAAAATCTTGGAGACACCTGAGACCTCTTGGCGTGTGCAAGCCTCTCTGTCCCTTCCGGCCCGGCCCTGAGGGCAGCCCTGGAAAGTTCCAGGTGGAGCCCAGTTTGGGGCCTCACCCCCACCAGCTCTTCAGCCTCGAAGAGGTATCTCCCAACCCTGAGCCAAGAGGACGCTGAGGGGGAAGGTGGTCCCTGGTTCAGGGGTTTGGGGAGTGAGACGGACCAGCCGGGGCCACCCCCTCCCACCGGCCTCCCAGTGGGGTCCCGGCGGGCTCAGGGGGCCGTGGCGTGCGGGGGCACGTTACCTCATGGCCGGCGTACTTATGGAGCGGCGGATGGAGCGGCTGCTGCTTGGAAGCGCGGTAGGAGCAGAGAAGGAGAGTTAAGGCAAGGACAGGACCGGCCTCCCCGTGCAGGAAGCTGAGGCCCCGCCCACCCCGCACCACTGAAGCAGAGAAGCCGCAGGCTGCCCTCAGGGGGAGAACCAGACCCGGGTGCCCCTCGCATGGCCCCAGAAGCGTGACACTGCCGGAAGAGGGTGCTGGGACAAGGAAACTAAGACGCCCTTGGCCTGGACTGCTAAAGACACTTCTGGTGCCAAGAACCGCCAGGTGTCCCCACGTGACTTAACAGCAAGCTCCAGAGAGACCGGCAGGGCAAGTAGGAATATTTAAAGTCGCAGACTGTTCTGGATTTGGGTTCCAGACCTCCAAGGCGGAGGAGCGGCTTGATCAGCATGAGGTAAAGGACACTCAGGAGGCTGTCTGACCCGGTCCCAAGCACCCCGCGGCAGAAAGAGCGCTCGGCTACGGGGAGGAGACCAGCTCCACTTTGAGGGGCAGGACCGCTTCTGGGGGAGGAGGACATGGGGACACGACGGCTTGAGGGCCGGCAGGGCCCCTTCCAGGAATAGAGTCGGGGCGGGCCGATAGCTACTCGGTGAGGCCGGGTCAGAACGGGCGGCGACAGGACCCAGCCGGCTGCACAAGCAGGGGAGGAGCCCTGAACCCGTCACGCCGCTGGTGACCACCTCGCTGTGCTGCTCCCACCCCCACCTTCATCCGCACAGCCTCCCCTGGGGCCAGCCGGGGCCAGCCGTGCCCAGCATGTCCAGCGTCAGTCTTACCTAAAGGAGTGTGAGAAGGGCCGAGCCCTGAGAGCGGCGGCAGGAGGAGAGAAGAGATGCAGTGTTAGGAGGGGCGCCTGGTCCTGCCCCGGCCCCTCTGCTCGGGCTCCGGAAGAGCACAGGGACGCCGGCGACCACGCTGCCAGAGGAGGGCACGTGCCCCCTCCCCAGCCTCTGCCCCGCCCTCCCGGATGCAGTCACATACGAGGGACCCTCGCATCTGACTACGCCACAGACTGGAGAGAAGGAGCCCAAAAAAACAAGCAAAGCGAGGGCGTGAAGTGCTCTTCGGCCCCGGGTGTCCATGCCTCACCCAGGACCCCATCAGCCTGCACTCCAGCTGGGGCTGGGGCGCCCGCCCCCTGCACCGCGACAGGGCTTGCGACACCCCCAGGGCTGAGAACTTCATGCTCTGGCTCCATCACCACAGATGTAAGAAGCTGACCGACAAATCTGAGCGTGTCCAAGGGCAGCTGCCCGGGGGGGCGGGGGGTTGGGGAGGCGGACAAGGCCACCCCAACGTGGAGATCATTTCAGAAGTGACGGTCACATGGCCTGATGTACCCACACCGCTCTGGTGGGTGGCAGGACCTGCTCTGCTCGGCAGGAGAACGAGCCCAATGGTGAGAGGAGGCATGTGTCCCATCAAAGGTCACCCAGCTGGACGGAGGCCTGACCCTGCTTTAAGTGGGTTTTTGGCCCCAATCCAGTCCCCCCCCACCCCCCACCGCCGGGGATGCAGAAGGCCTCTCAACCCAGGCTACTCCTGGACGGGCCCTTCGAGACACCAGTGTGGGGCTGCTGTCCTGAAGGACTGAGCAGCACCTGACCCTGAACGTGCGAGGGAGACCTCCCTGGTTCTCCTTCTTGAGAAGCTCCAAACCACGGAGGTAAACGGGCCTTGGCCTCAGAAACCACCTGAGACCACGTGGTGAGGCGATGGGGACACACCGAGGACCCTGAGACCCAGAGATCACAGCACCACTGGAATCATGAGAGCAAAACCAGCAGCAGGCACTCAAGGCCCCAGAATGAGACCCCAGCCAACAGGCACCGTGACCACGCGCCAGTTCCTCTGCCGGGCTGACTCACGCACGGCGGGCACAGGACCTGCAGCGACACGGCCACTCCGGGTTCTGAGCAGACAGCGGGGGCAGACGGAGCATGGGCCGCGTCGCTGCTCCCCCAGATCGAAGCCGTTCGTGTGAGGAACTGCCCAGCAGGCTCGCCCGCAGCCGCTTCCACACGCGCCCGGGGCTCCGCCCTCTCGCCTGCTTTCCACCCAGAGTGCTCCGAACACGCTCGAAAGTGAGCGAGAATACTGAACGTGAGCGCATGACACCAAAAATGAAAGAGAATGTTCCCAGAAGAGGACGAAGCAGACCTCTGTCACCTGCTTCAGATGCCCTGTCATCAGACCAGCCTCTGCAGGAAAGCACAGACCCGAGCAGACGCTCCCCTCGCTCTGTGACGGGCCCTGGGAGTGAGGCCTGGCCGCCAGGGGCGTGTGATCAGCCTGGCTCAGGTGGTCACAGCAGGCATCCCATCGAGCGTCAAGGGAGACTCGATCCAGGAACACACCCAGAGTCACGCGTGAGCCGAGCAGCGCGAAGCCTTGGGGAGCAACTGCCACAGGCCCTCCTGCTGCCAGCGCAGAGCCACCGCCTGGGGTGGGGGGTCCCTCTTGTGCCCGAATCACAGCCATGGTGGGCAAGGCCTGCATCCGAGCGTGGCCCGCAGGGTCCCCCAGTGGAGAGGGTGCACCCCTGAGGAACAGACTGCCTATTACTGACGGTTCAGCTTCTCCGAAGGTTTGAAGTTTTTCAAAATAAAAGGCTGGGGGGGGGTCAAGGAGAGGAGAGGGGTAACGATGTCAAACAAACACGGATAAAACGTGAGCACGGCTCCAGGCACCAGCTGTCCTCTGCTCAGCCGGGTGGGGCCTGGGGCTTGTGAGCGCCTGTGGCCAATCGGCCAGGGCAGGGCTCCTATCTTGAGGCCCACGAGGCAGCCACAGGCTGTGAGGCAGGGAAATGCTTACCCTAAGCAGGCAAGAAGGAGCCCACTCAAGGCTGAGAGGTGAGGGGTCAGGGCCAGGGGGACTCCCAATGCCACGCTCAGCAGGCCAGACCCACAGCAACTCCATAGGATTCTTGGCTATGAGGAGATAGGGCAGGGCCGGCAGTGGAACCCAGGGGGCCAAGTCCAGGGTGCTGGCGATGGGGATGACCCGCACTGCCCACTGTCTCTCTCCAATTAGTCCCAACAACCCCGAGGGAGGCCCTTGTGAGGGCACAGCAAGGAAGGAGCTCAGCCAGCAGCCACACCCTGGCCTCTGGCTCCAAGGAGGCCCTGCGGGGGCAGCAGCGAAGCCCAGAGCAAGAAACTCAGGGTGAAGCCTGGCTTGGGAGCGGCATGGCCATCAGGCTGGGGGTGGCCACTGCTGTGTGTGGTCCACCTAGTGCCCGGGCCCCCCACTCTCCCTGGCCCCAGAGGCACTCGGGTGGCCAGCAGGGTCTCATCCACTTCTGGGACAGAACGCTCAGTCGGGGGCCCTAGCGTGCAGCCGCACGCTCTCTCAGGGCAGGCCTGGCAAACACCCCGAGAAACACCACGCTTGTCCTCGACTTGTCCAGGCTGGCGGGCCACCCAGGCTGACGCTGCCCCCAGGCCGAATCGTTTTCTCTCCGTGGAACTTCAACAAGAAGCATCGCCTCCACCAACCCTAAGTACCAAAGTTACCCACAGGCACCAGTGGCCCCCCCCAACCCCGCACCCCAAGAAACATACAAATAAATGGCAGAGGTAGCCGGTAAACAAGAGTTTGTGAACCAACTGGTCCAGGGCTGGTGTGGCCACACCTATGGGTGGTGAGGGGCCCCTGAGGCATGTGCATCTGAGCCTGGAGGCTCAGGCAGGCTTCCTGCAGACCCTCTAGTGGATCTAAACCCCCTAAAACCCCACCTGCCTGTCCCAGCTGTCAGGGTGGAGGTGTCAGGCCAGGGAGTCTCACCTCATGTCCCCAAGCTTCCGGCTGATGGCAGAGCCCATGGTGGACAGGGCTGCTGAGGTCTTCTGTCCTGCCTGAGAGAGGGTTTCCTGGGTCTTCTTGTAGCTGGAAGGAGAAACACCAGTTAAACCAACCAAACAGAAGGCGTAGTCATGCCTCCCCACACCAAGGACAAGGCACCCAGAGAAAAGAGGGGGCGGTCAGGGCGGTGAGAAAGCCTGGCCACCAGGAAGAGGACACGTGTCCTGTCTCAGGGCCCCCAGGGGACTGCATGAGGGACAGACGCAGCACTGCCAGGTCACGACCCCCCACCCTGTAATAACACCGTTTTCTGCTCTTCCTGTAATGCAGGCTCCCCTCCGTGGAAACTTACTTGCCCCACCCCTACAGCAAAGAGGCCCACAGAGCCCAGGGCCTGCGGCCAAGCAGACCAGCCCCTCAGGCCCTCCTGGGGCTTCTCTTTTCTCTTCTCGTCTAAGACAGTCCTCTGAGGACAGAACAGCTCGACCACACCCACAGGGGATGCAGCCGGCCGTGCGGCCTGTGCCGGGCCAGGCTTCAGACCCCGAGCAGCCCCTCCAGCCCTCCACCCTCCTGTTCTGCATCTACCATGTCCTTTGAGAACTGGTTCAAGGGGGTGGTCTTGGCGGAGACGGCCTGTTCCACACCCTCCTGCCCCATTCACCCACAACAAGATGGCTCGTGACCTCAACGGCAGTGGCACAGGCACGGGCAGGGTGCCTGGGCCACAGGGACAGCAAGGACACCCTCAGGCCCAGGCTGAGAGCCAACACCTACAGCTGCCAGCCCCCCGTCCAGCCCCCACCAGAAACAGAAGACACAGCAGCCTGAACCCAGGAGCTCCTTTCTAGCCAAGCTGGCAACCCCACAATAATGGCTCGAGATGGTAGGGCTCCGGAGGCGCCAGCCAGCTCCAGCCCTCCTGGCACCCCCAGGTCACAGGGGGCTGGCTCGGACGGCACCAGCAGTGGGGCTTCCAGGCCCCTTTCCCATCCACCCCACATCGTCGCCCTCGGGAGGCCCCACGTGAGCGCCTGCTACCCGCCTCCCTCAGGCCAGCCTCCTACCTGGTGCCCTGCACTCCCCGTCCTGTGGTGACGGCCTGGCCCCAAGCACCCTGGAGGGGCCTCCCTCCCCTCAGCTGCAGCCACTCACAGCACAGCAGGGCCCGGGCCTCAAAACATGTCGCTTCCCAGCAAGAGTTTGGAAATACCTTGAAATCGCTAAGACATCTGAGTTTATCTCAGTTTCCAGAAAGTCAGTGATTTTGGAACACACTGCTAATAACAAGGAAAAAATAATTTCTAAAATCCTTGCCGAAAAATCTGCTTCTGCGTTTTCTGGATTCAAAAACTAGTAAGAGGCCTCATTCTGAACCCAGGCCTTAGAAAACCCTGACAACGAGAAATTCCTCCCCCAGTGATAGTCTGACACGATCAGAGGACTTAAGTGAACAGGAACTCAAAGTCCAATCCCCTGCCCAGTGACCCAGGTATCTGGACAGCTGGGGCCTGGACAGGATCCCCTGGGCCGAGCGACAAGGTCCATTCTAGGCCACAGCTGATTCGTACTAAAACCCAAAGTCCACACCCTCCTTTCAGAGGGTTTCCACGCAGACTGTGGTCACAATTCTCCCAGGCGTCTTCTGACTTGAAGACGCCTTCACCCGGAGCTGCCACCCACACCATGGCCTGTCTCAGCGTCTCTCAAGACGGTGGCGACAGAAGGGGAGCATCCTGAGGATGACCTAGAAGGGGGCCCAGGCACTGAATCACCAGCAGGAGAGGCGCGTGCTGTGGGCCACTCTGCAGGGAAGCACCCCTCTGGGACAGATGTGGTGCAGAGGCCAGGGTAGAGCCAGCGTCTGTATCCTGGTAACTCAGCCCCACCTGTGCCTGAGAGCACCAGGCTGTGCGGCCCTGGCCGCTGCCCCTTTGGGAATTCCTTTCACCTTTTAGGAAGACAAAGGCCTCCTCCCAGGATCAGTGGGCGTGGCTGTCAGTCAGAGGGAGGCATCTGCTGGATGCTCCTCCTCCAGGATCCTCCCTTGGGGGGCCGTCTCCACCTGCCACTCGGTGGGGCACGTGACCCCAGACTGCCTGGCCAGAGGCTACAGCTCCCGGACCACAGTGAAAGCACAATCTTATCGTTGGTCTGCAAGGCTGGGAAGATACCATCCAGCCCCACCAGGCACCCCTTGACCACAGAGGAGCTACCTGAGAACAAAGCCACTGTGGGGAGAGTGGAAGGGGGAGGGACACAGGTTGGGAGCGCTGATCGGAGCCCCGGGCAGAGGGCCTGGAGCGGGGGCTTCTCGCCAGGCGAAGCCTCCCCATCCCTCCTAGGCTGACACTATCCGTACCTGTGCTTTCTGTCACCTGCGACCAAAGAACTCAACATGCCAACGAGTGACTGTGCAATTTATTGGTGTCCACACAAAGCACGATTTTAGCTATGATCCACCTAAAAAAGGATCCCATTAGGTGATCACTTCACGACCAACAGAGCACGGCTGCTGAATCAACAGCTGGCCGAGGGAAGAGACCCCCTCCCAAACGGCATCAACCCACTCACGACAGGACCGCTGCACCAGAGCTAAGTGCTCGGGCTGCACACGCCCGCCTCCTCCCCCTGGGTGGCGCTCTCCGAAAGGGATCCACCAGCACACGGATCGCAAATCGCGAAAGACAGGGTGGCTCCGAGGCTCTGGACGCGGAACCCCAGCAGCGGTCTCCGGCAGCCACCGCTAGGGAGGCACCAGTCAGACGACCCCGAGAGTGCAGAGCAGCTGTGTCGCGTTGTCACCGTCCTGGGCTATCACTGCAGAGACGCCTCCAGCCCTGACAACTCTACCACCAGACTTGGGGCTAAGACCTCGTGGCCGCTGCCTGATGAAGCGTGTGAAAAGGGCCATCCCACCAGCCACACCTGCAGGCCCAGAGCCACAGGGTCCGTTCAGAGGAGTCAGAACCGTGATCGTCAGAAACAGTATCCCAGCAGCTTCCCGTCAACTGGCTTTACAGAACAGCACTAAGATCTCCCAAGGCTATTTTCAGCTCTGGTCTGCACCGTGAGCCTGCCTGCAGCAACGGGCTGCCCTACCAAGCCACGCAAACAGCATGAAACCCCAACCACCAGACCCACTTGGTGCCCGGCTCCCCTCGTGACCCCAGGCTGCAAGGGCTCCACGCACACAGCTGGCCAACCTGGGCTTCCGGGCACCTCCAAGACAAGGTGGGTCACAACCATTTCCTCTCAGCCCAACACAGAAGGGCTTTCTGCCCATGCCTTCTGGCAAGCACGACAGCACTTCCTTCTAAGCAAGACCTCCCAGAAGGTGACTATTTTAAAATACTGCAGGGGCTTCCCTGGTGGCGCAGTGGTTAAGAATCCGCCTGCCGATGCAGGGGACACGGGTTTGAGCCCTGGTCCGGGAAGATCCCACATGCCATGGAGCAACTAAGCCCGTGCACCACAACTACTGAGCCTGCGCTCTAGAGCCCGCGAGCCACAACTACTGAAGCCTGCGCGCCTAGGGCCCATGCTCCACAACAAGAGAAGCCACTGCAATGAGAAGCCCGTGCACCACAATGAAGAGTAGACCCCACTCGCCACAACTACAGAAAGCCTGCACACAGCAACGGAAGACCCAACGCAGCCCAAAAATAAATAAATAAATAAAATCTAAAAAATAATAATAGAATAAAATACTGCACCACCCAGTTCAAAGGCTATACCCAGAACGGCGCACGAATGAAGCGCTACCATCTTGTTTAAGAATCTCAAATAAGACGTCGGGAGTCCTTCTGGACCAGAGCTCTGTCAGACACACAGAGCTACCCATGAGGGTTCTGCGCTCTACTAATTTTCTGTGTGGCTGAGAGCTTGGAGCTTCTCAGGCCAAAGGAGCTCCTTCGAGATCTGACCCGCATGGCCCACGCTGCACCCCCAGCTCAAGAGCCACCCCTAAGTGCAAGAGACCCTGAGAGCACCACAGCTGGAGCCAGGTCTGCAGGGGAAGGAGGGGGAAAAGCGCCAGCCATCAGCATCAGTACAGATGGCGCCCAAGGTGCATCACCAGCCAGACGTGGCCCAAGCTCAGCTCCGGCCTCTGATCTGAGGGACACACATCGGGCAGGGGGAAGTTTTCAGTGTGGTCTGGTGGCAGAGTGAACTTCCTTCAGCGTCTGCACCCTCTTCCAGAAGCGTTTAAAGGACAGTTTCTTTTGTGATTGAGAGGAGAAAAATATATTAAAAATAAAATAGCCAAGAAACACCACAGCTAGGTCTGAGCCAAGTGTGCACAGCCTCCCTGTCCCTCAAAGGTGTCAGGAGGGGAGAGGATGGAGGTGCCGGCAGCAGAGGCACTCACAGGTCCGACTGGGTCACTTTCTCATTCCACTCTCCAAGTTTCTCAGAAGTTTTCACGTAGCTAAAAACAGAAAGTCTGTGGTAAATGATTTAGAAAAACTACTTCAACTCAAGTTTCAAACTGGCAAGTGACATTCCAGGGAAAACAGAGAAGGACCACTTGGCAAGAAGACTGAACGTTCAGCCTGCTTCTGCTCAGCACCGGCTCTGCAGGCCCAGCCACTCTCCTCATGCCGAAGGAGGGCCTGCTCACGCGATGGAAGCTGTGTCTTGGGGAACAGCTGGGAGGAGCAAGGAGGGCACAGCCCATGGCCCCAACACAGCCACCCTTTGGGGTTCAAGGCCTACAGTTTCCTAGGACAGAGAACTGGGCCTTTCCTAGGGCAGATTTATGAAAATTGACTTGGTCTTCCTGTGGGAACATGGCTTCTCAGACAGTGGGAGACATCTCCCATCCCCCCACCTTGGAGGATATGTTTCAGAGGAGCCACACAGCCGCACTACCCAAATTCAGAGAGCTGCGGCACAGAGGGTCTGGGTCAGAGGTCCTGACCACGTCATGCTCATGAGAAGGACTCATGTCCACAGACTCACGTCGGCAGACGCTGACCTGTGGGGACCATGGAAAACCAGCCTCATTAAGCACCTAATTCGTGTTCTCTCCAATGTAGACCCTGAAACATATTCTTCTTGTCAATTTCTGCTTGGACAACTAGCTAGCATGTCTGCCGCCTTTTAAAAACACGTGTAGACTCTACACTCTTTGAATAAATACAAATTCAGTTGCTGGCAAGGATTCAGGGACCCCAGCTGGCTGCTTCCAAGCGGCACACTTGCTGACCCTGCTCCCAGGAGGCCCCTCACCCCCAGGACTCAACGCCCATCAAGCAGGTAGAGCAGACACTCACGCGTTAGACACCTGTACATCATGCCAACCCCTGGACAGGTTCTGCTTCAGGCCCTCCAAGGTAGAAAGGCCCAGCCTCCTCTTCAGCTCGCCACAGTGCCTCTCCTTGGCTGCCAGCACCTGGCGCAGAGTGACAACTTCCTCCTCCACCTGCAAAAGCACGGTTACCAGGATTCAGCCACCACGATGGCAGGAAGTGACCACCATCCTTACACACGTCGCAGTGAAGGCCTTCTCAGAATCACCTAAGCATTTCCCATTTACAGAAACACAGCTCGTCTTAGGAATAGTCTACAGCAGGCATCGGTTCTGTTTGTATGTGGCACCAGCGCCTCGACTTCTTCTGGAGAACCGTCCCGCCCCCCTAAGCCGAGGGCTCTGGCGGAGCTACTGACCACAGTGCCCACCCGTGGATGACGAGCAAGGCCTGTCGGAGCTCTTCCCTGGGACTAGGAACGGGTGTTAGAAGACAGCAGCCCCTTTCTGTCCAGGCTCCGGGTCTGGGTGTGAGTAACAGAAGGTGGGCGGGTTGGCAGCCAGGCCCCATCTGCACCATGGGGGAATTCCACACGTCGGGGGAAGGAAGCAGAGCTGACAGACGGATGGGTGGCCAGAGACCCACGTGACAGAGAAACAACCCTTATGACAACATTTGTGTTCCCAAGGTCAGCTGCCGGCCTCGGCGAAAGCCACTTACAGGAGCCCAAAGAAAATTCTCTTTTCTGCTTAAAGTAACTTGAGTTGGGCAACAGAAAAAATCTTGACAATAACGACCAGAACCTTCTCATGTCTTAAAACAAAGAGTGAACTACAGAGAGGAGCATCCTTTACAGCCTTCCTACTTTAGATTCTCAATACTTCCTGCTCCTTCCTGCTCCTATGTGAACAGCTACTCTAAAAAAAAAAGTCCCTTTCTTAAAAAAATGACTGTTTGGGTTAAGGCACTAACAACAGCCTAAAGCCCTATATATCACTAGATTCTGCTTTAGAAAATACTGAAAAAGAAACGATTCAAAACTACAGGATCATCTAAGGCCAAACTATTACCAGCCACCCCAGCAGTGACACTCGGTGACTTGAACTTTCCATTTATGGTGCTTTGGGCACATGGGCTTAAGGGCACGTGGACACGCAAGCTGAAATTTTTAAGAAACACAAGAGCTTCTTCATTTTGCAATTCACCTCTGAAAAAAACCTTGTGGTTTTTATTCTCTAAACCAACATGTCCTGAAATAAAAGGCAAAACATAAGTCTCCTGGGACTTCCTGCTGCTTCTCCTTTAACCTCCGTTCAATTAAGAAAGGGCAGCTTCCTCTATGGTCTAAAACCTGGTCCTGGGGCTGGGTTTGTCCGCATGACCAGCTCTGCTCAGACCCAGGCCTGGACCCAGGATGTATCAGGACGGGCTTGTTTCCGAAGGCGGAGCAGAGAACTGCAACAAGCGTGCTCCAGCCTCTGCCTGACTGATGCCAACAAGTTCATTTCCCCAGATTCTGGAATCTCAAGTGAGTCACTATTAGACTCTGTATCACACCGTAAAAAGAAACACTCTTGGCAGTTAGTCTGAATAAAAATTATACGCAGACGCTTTTGTTCTTAACTCCTATTTCCTCTTAAAGAGCTCTCACTTTAAAAAGATCACACGAAACGCTTTTTACAGAAGTATTTTTAAAAGAAAAATGAAGATCCAGGGACGGATATATCCATGGGGGTCTTGAAAATGTCGTGTTGATTCCAAAAGAGAAACTCCCAGCAGATGGTGTGCTCAGAGCAGCTGCCCCATGTGGACATTCTCCTCATGGAGCACCTACAAGGTGCCAGACACACGCCAACCAAGGGCTGCAGAGGGCAGTTTCTGTGGGGCTCCAGGGACAATCTCCCAGGGCAATTTCTCCAGAGCACAGCCAGCACTCTGGCCCCTCATTAGGCTGGGAGGGCCTCACAGTCACCCCCGGATGGACAGCCATGACACAACACCTTTGCAAGCTCAGCCCTGAGCTCCTCCGCCTCGGCATCTGTCAGACCCTCCACAGCAGGAGCCTGGGCGGCCACCGCTGTGTCGACAGGGACATCCGTCATGGAGTCGGAGAGCAGACCTTTGTTAGGAGAATTCAGGTTGATATCTGCCAGAGACAAAATGCGGTCAGAGAGCATCAAATAAGAAGTCACAGAGGAATAGAGGACAGAGGTTTCCACCGAGGGAGAAAGCAAGGGTGCAAGGGCAGGTTTAGGAGAAAGGGGCGGGGGACCCGTGGAGACAATGCCTCTTCTCTGAAAGGTTCTGCAAAGATGGTTTTGGCCACCAGACTGGGAGCAGCCACATCTCAGGCCACCCAAGTTGCTTCTTCAGGTTCTAGAAATGCTGGCACAAGGCAGCCACTCCCTAAATCTGGTTCCTCCTGTAAGAATACTATCTTCACAGACAGGAAACCTTTGTTAGAAACAAAGCCGCTGGATCTAACAGCTCTTCCATTTTTTAGCGTGAAGGAACTTAATACAGCTGTAAACACAACCAGCGCCACTTTCCAATCCGCTACTCCGCCAGGGCGCGGGCTAAGATTACACACAAGGAACACAGTCATCCAGCCCCTGTGGGGAGTCAGCGAAACAAAATCCGTTCGGTTCATCCTCGACCCTCACCCCACAGCAAGAAGGCTGGGGCGGTGTGCAGAGGGCACTGCCTCCTCACACCTCTGCTATACCCAGACCCGGTTCGAACCCCTGCGTCACGTTTGTTCTCCACGTTAAACGCACTTTCCTGTATGCACTAGAAGTTTACAGGAAAAACAGGTCTACGTCAGTTCTTTCCAATTCCAAATGCAAGGCCGTCGTTGTTTAGTACATTATACAATCAGCACTGAAAACATCTTCCCTTTTGATCAGCACATTCTGTGAAGAGACGGGCTCTGTATGGTGTTTGGCACATTTAAAAGTAACTTAAAGGGAATTCCCTGATGGTCAGTGGTTAGGACTCTGCGCCTTCACTGCCGAGTGCCCGCGTTCAATCCCTGGTCAGGGAACTAAGATCCCACAAGAAAAGCGCGGCGTGGCCAAAAAAAAAAAAAGAAAGAAAGAAAAGTAAATTAAAGGCATAAAGGTTGCAAAACAGTATAAGTGTCTTTAACTGCAGGTATGTTTGTCTACTCTAGAAACCCTAGAATCTGCTAAAAATAGGCGAAATGCCCTTAAAACCAAAGACACTCTGTTTAGCTGGCCGTGTCATTCCCTTCACATGTCCCACAGCTGGAGCCATGCACTTCTGTGGTGCTCTAGAGATGTTCACTAAATGAAGCTTTTCTTTTTAATCGACAGATTTCAATATTTAACCGAGATCAACCTACGTGGTTTTACTTCATCGTTTGTACCTGCTGTGTTGAACCTACTCAAATTCAGTAAGTGCCTCAAGATCCCTACAACTTTTCTATTCTTCAAAAACAGATAAAGGCCCTCAGCCACTGTCTGCTTATAAAACTGTGTGCTCACCCAACATGCTGTGCGCTGCCCAGTCACTGGGTGAGACCAAGCTCGGTACCCCCTGCAGGAAGATGCTATTCACACCCTGACTCAGAGGTGACCAAGGTCCTCACCAAAGGACCTACAGAGAGAATTAGCACGGGCTGCTGCAGTAGGCAACACGAGGGGGCCAGAGCCCCTCACCTGGGTGAATCTCAGCTCAGCCTGTATAATCATTTGCAAAACGGGGTTTTCTGGGACCAGTATAAAAAGGTTATTCCGAGAATGGAAAAAGATCTGAGAAGCAGGCTTGGAATGGCGTCTGGCACACAGTAGGTGCTCAGTAAATGTTTTCTGTCGTTCTCATGACCGGAACCCCACGCTTGTGAAGAATTCTAATGTTTAATTAATATGCTGATACAGATCAAACGATAGAAAAGCACCCTGAAATCATCCAGTGTAGTTACATCAACGTAGTATTAGCACTCCCTCTAGAGCCCCAGGATGGAAGACAGACTCGTACCACCTCCTCAAGATCTTAAGCTTCTGGGCCCGCTCCACACCCCCCAGCGGCCACCTCAAACTAGTCTGGGATGTCAGTTCCGGAAACAGGCCTGGTACGCTGGGTGTGCCCCTGACTCACTGCACCCTTCCCCCTCCAGACAACTCTGCAGTAGGCTGGGCTCCGAGCTGCGTTGCCACCCAAGGGGCGCTGCGCCCAACGCGAGGACGGCGTCGCCTCCCCTCCCCTCCCCGGGCGCCGCGCACGGCGCCTCGGCCCGCATCCAGGGCCGGATGGGGTGTCCCCGAGGGCCCTGCGCAGGGACTGAGGGCGGCCCGCCGGGCAAGAGTCGGGCGGGGGCAGAGTGGGAGCTACCCGGAGTGACGAAACCCAAGACTCTGGGGCGAGGGGAGGGCGCTGGGGAACCAGTGCTCAGAGCGATCCCAGCGGGGGCGGAACACCCGCCAGGAGCTTCGAGGCCGCGCGCGTGGGAGAGGAAGAGATGCCGCGGCACGGGCGGGCGCAGGCGGAGGGGCCCAAAGGCCGCCACGCGGCGCCGGGCCCGCGGGTACCTTGGCCGGCGGAGTCCATGTTTAGGCGGCGGCCGGACCGCAGCTGGCGTCGAAGCCGGGGTCGCGGGCGCAGTGGGAACCGAGCGGGCCGCACCAGGTGTCGCTCGCCGTTTACGCACCAGCCAGCTGAATCGCCTCAAGCGCCGCGGCATTACGTGATCAACAGCGAGACGACCCACTTCCGCTTTGAGGCGCGCTCCGCCCCCCCGTCCCGCCCCCACGAGCGGTGCCCAATGAGGGAGGTGTTTTGGCCTAGTCCCGGTTCATCAGCTTCAATATGATTGGTCGAGGCTGCGGACGAAGCCGGAAAGGGAGTCCGGTCCACCAGCGAGAAGCACAGGTAGAACGGTCTTGAGGTGCACGGAGTGAGGTGGAAACTGGGAGGACCGTGCAACATGGCGCTACGGGAATCCCGGAGGTGGGCCTCTTGGAGGTCTCCAAGGTGTTTGCCCCTGCCTGCGAGCGCCACGGCTCACGTACTTCGGCGGTTCAGACTCAGGCCGCTTGCGATCCCTCCGAGGCCTGACCCACTGACTTTGGGGCTCTTTTTCTTTTTGGGTCTGTCCTTTTTGTAGGGATTTTAAAGTTGTATGGGGGTTGCGCAGAAAAAGGCGCGACCACGAGTTGCTCTCTTCTGGCTGGAGGCGCCCTTCGACCCCGTGTTCTCTCACTTCCTTTTCACAGCAACCCGGTGAGACAGATGGGGCCCTCCCCACTTTACAGATGAGAAAACTGAGGCCAGAGTTACTTGCTCATCACTCAGCTAATTGCTTCCTGCAGACTCCGGAGAAGGGTCTGCCAAACTTGTCAAAGGAGAGGTGTGTAGCCATTAGGCAACCCGGTCCCGCTAAAACAAGTCCCACGACTACTCTTCCTTGGCTACTAATTGCCTCTGCAAGCAATCCGTTAGTGCAGGGGCCGGGCTGCACAGCAGGAGGTGAGCGGCGGGCAAGTGAGCGAAGCTTCATCTGCTCCCCACCGCTCGCATTACCGCCTGAACCTTTCCCTCCCCCTGTCCGTGGAAAAGTTGTCTTCCACGGAACCAGTCCCTGGTGCCAAAAAGGTTGGGGACCGCTGCTTTAGTGGTATTCAAACCCTTGAGGATCTGACCCTTCTGGACAGCATTCCCCCTAACAGCCAAGCCACCCTGCATGTACTGATCCCTAGGAAGGAAACCCATTCCTTCACCTGGCTAACTCCTCTTACTGTCTCAGCTCAAAGCTCACCTTCTCCCCATAGGTCTTCCTGGTACTTTAGGTCACCTTAAGTACCTGCTTCTGCTTGCACTGGCCCAGGTGCATCCAGGCCAGGTCCTGCTCTGGTGCCGTCAATTATATGCCTGCCCCACTTGCCTTCTTTCAGCTTTTCCAGAGCTTCTAGCTGGAACCACCCTGGCCAGCCCCTGTCCCCAGGAGTTGAGGACAGCCAATAGTCCCTGCTTCATACAGTTAAGGGCAGGTGGTAAGGATGCGACTGCATTACAGATGGTGGTGGGCAGAGGGCTTGTCTCTCATTTTGTATGGCATCCCTGAGCCGGGAACAAAGCAATGAGTGGTCAGTGCAGGTGTGTCTGTAGTCCCACCTGGACTGCCTCCCACTTACTCTGAGTCTGTGGTTCCACGGTGAACCCCATTCTGTAGAAGCCAGGAATGGGGCGGGGGGAACCCTATGAAGCAGCAGCATCGCACTCCTGGGGAAGTCCAGCTGCTAAGACTTTTACAGCCCTTCCAAAGCCAGTGTTCTTTCATAGTTAGAGGCGACTTGCACAGACCCTTCAACACTCATCTTTCCCAGTCATCCTGTAACCCAGGCCAGGTGAAGGACGCCTCCTGGTGTCCCACAGCCCATGTTCACACCATCCTTTCTAGGTGATCAAGGCACCCATCACACAGTGTTGCCATAAACTGGGTCAAGTTAATCTTTGCATTCCCCTTAGGAGCTGGGAGCAGACTGGGACCGTCCACAAATGTTGGAGGGAGGAAGAGAAAGGAGGGAAGGGGATGCCCCAGTGAGGGAGAGTGCCAGGTCCCTATGCACTGCCCCACCCTCCCCCAGACACAAGGTGGGGATCCCAGGTGGGGATCCCAGGCAGGGCCAGCTTTACTGGTTTGGGGTGGGGGGTGGGAGAAGGGACACGCAGAAGCACGGTCTACAGCCTCCAGGGCAACTAGAAGTCCTCAGGTTCCAGCGGACTGCAGTGGGTCGCCTCCACGTTCTTGAGGTGCTGGCGAGCCAGGAACAGCGCGAGCTGCCAGCGCCGCCGCCGGCTCAGGCCCTGGCCCACTAGCCAGGGGAAAGAGAGCCCGTGCGGGCCCCAGGCCTCCTCGTCCTCCTGCCGGTCCTCGCAGCGCGCGTGGTACGAGCGCAGCAGGGCTAGGCACGAGTCGCCGTCCACGCGGTAGCGCGCGTAGAAGGCGGCCTCCTGCGCCAGGCTGCCGGCACGCAGCCATCGGGTCACGACAGTAAGGCCCTCGCGCGCCATCACGGCGGGGTAGCGGTGCTGCGGCAGCGCAGGAGCAGCTCGTTGCCGCGGTGCCCTCCACGTCGCCCGACGGCAGGGGGCGCAGGGGGCCCGAGGTGCTGACCACGTCGTCCGGCGTGCGCCGGAGCAGCAGCACCGGCCGGGGTAGCGGCATAACTGCTGGGCCACGTTGAGGTTGAAGTGCTCGCGCACCGTGCGCACCAACAGCCCCTTCCAGCTGTGGGGCATGACCTTCAGCGCCAGTGGCACGAGGTCGTCGAAGGTAGCATCGAGCACCAGTGCGCCCAGCTCCGGGTACGTCATGGTGGCCCACGAGGCCGTGAAGCCGCCAATGGACCAGCCGTAGACCACCACGTGCGCGGGCGGGAAGTGCAGGCGGTACAGCGCGTACTTGACCACCACGTCCATGGCGTTGGCGTCGTGCTGAGGGAACGGCGCGCCCGTGCTGCCCCCAAATCCCGGGTGGTTCCAGCCCAACACCGAATAGCCGGCCTTCCGCGGTGCCGACAGACAGCCCATCTCGTAGAAGCCGGTGTTGCCCTCGCAGCAGATGGCGAGGCGCAGTCCGCGGCCATGGCTGCCCGGGCGCTGGCGGCGGTCCATGAACATGGTGCCGATCTCGTTGCCGTCACAGGCCACCAGCTTGGCGCGCCGGCCGCGGTAGCGGTCCACCAGGCACTCCTGGCCCTGCCGCAGGAGCGGCAGCAGCGCGCGCGTCATCAGGAACATGGAGCCAGGGTACACGAACCAGGGGCCCACTGAGTGGGCCAGCACGTAGCTGGCGACCTGGCCGGGCAGCTCACGGATCTGCTGCAGGAGGCACTGCGCCTGCCTGCGCGCCCCGCGGGATGGCCGCCCCTGCGCGTCTTCGCCCAGCGCCGCGCCCCGCAGCAGCCACATGCCCGCCGCGGCTGCCGGGCACGTCAGTCTCCCGGTGACCGCTGTGGCCCCCGGCGGTGGCGGCGTGCACGTCATCCCAGCGGAAGTCCACAGGCCAGCCGCGGAAGTTGTAGGTGTAGTTTGCCGTCAGGTAGATCTTGAACAAGTGCACCAGTGCCTTCACGAAGCAGACCACACACATGGGCGCCGAGGCGCTGGGCCCTGACAGAGAGCCCTAAGGCCCAGTCGCCGGGCCGGGTGGCGCTTCCAGTAGGAAATCTAGGTCCAGCCTGGAGGGTGGTGTCAGGGCCGCGCGCGCGCGGCCACCTCAGGACATGCCTTCTCAGGGCTTGGCCCTCGTGGCCTTTATGACCTGGGCCCACCGGGGCCCAGGGGAGGCGTCCTCTGCCCGGCGTGGGCCGGCTTTGTGAGTCACCGTTGCCCGGGAGAGGCGGCACTCTGTGGGGGGCGCACAAAGGGTTCCCGGGCGTGGTGGACCTCGCCCTCCCACAACACCCCCGCCCGGGCCACAGCCTCAGGACCCTGGCGCGGCCACACCCTCGCCAGGCCCTCTTTGGCCCGCATCCTCCCGGGGCCTCATTAGCCTCTCACCCACCCCCAAGGCCACCTCCACCGGGGCCTGAGCAGCGTCTGGCCCCCTCCTCCTTGAACTGTAGGTGGACACCCAGGCCAGAAATCAACAGTGCTGACCTCTTCCTGGGTCTCACCGGGAAAAATACAGGGCTGTCCACGGCCCTGAACCCCCGCCACCTCCCGAGGCACCTGCCCTGGTGGGAGAGGGAGCAGAGACAGGACGAAGCAGCCCTGGGGATCAGGCTGTGTGTGAGTCTGCAAAGGCTACGTGGGCCCCGCAACGGGCCGGCCAGGGGGAGCAGCGAGGCTGGCTGTGGGGCTCTTTGCTCACTGCCTGTGCCCCTGCCCTCCACACCTTCCTTCCCAGGAAAGGGGGTGAGTGCGGGCTGGAAACCCCCCCTGCCCGCCCCTGCCCCCCACCCCCACCCCCCCAGAGCCGTTCTGGATCCTCTTTCCACTGATGCCTGCAGAGGCAATGACCTTCTCCAGGTGGGTCGTGCCTGGCCAATGTTCCTCATTTTCAGCCCCTGGTCGAGCTCTCCTCTCCCTGAAACCACCCCACAAGATGTCCCTTCTCCTTTTCTGGAGGGCTCTCGTGGGTTCTCCTTTCTCTCCTGCACCAAAGTGGGCCTGCCCACCTGAGGGCAGAGAGCAGGGCAGAGTCCATGGGGGGAGGCAGAGAAGAGCCAGGTTCCAGGGGGCTCCTTCAACAGTTGCCTTGACCTGAAAGGGAGTTTGGCAAACCCACCTGGGCCCTCGGAACCTAAGAGGCCTGCCTTGGAGACCCCAGCCCTCTGGGGAGGGGGCTCCAGGCCCCAACAAGTCCTCTCTGCTCTACTGCCCTGTGAAGCTGAGTTGGGGGCATTGCTGGCCCAGTCAACCGCCACCAGGCTTGGGACACAGAACTGAGTACGGCTGCTGTCCTCCGGGGCTGGTGAGCAGGAGGGGTCAATGCGCAGAGCGAGTGAGTTGAGAGGTTTGAGCATCCATCCCCCCAACCCCTGTTTCCAG